TGCTGTAGTTAGACCAATGGCGACTATACTAATAGTACTTAGCCATGCAATCTGGGAGTACGATTTCAAAAACATTGTTGGTAGAATAAGCAGTGCAGCGAAGCAGGTCCAGGAAGTTTGCGAGAGGGGTACTGTTGGTAGGGCGTGGGATGTGAGAGATCCACAGAGAATTAGATAACTGACTGCTATAAAAACAAAACCAATGTCTTGATTCCAGGCGACAATTTTACCAGCATATTTAGGATATATCGCGTCTCCTATCTCCTTCCAAGTTGATCTAGTTCGAGTCTTTCCTTTTTTCTCGTCGCTGTCGTACAAACTCTCGGCTAACACTTTTCCTGCGTACCAGGTGATAATTGGCACTAAAAACAGTGATATCACAGCTGTGATTCCACCCTTTTTGATAGAATACGCCAAAGCAAGCAATCCAACTCCTTCGATGAAGTTTATCAAGTTCATTGTTGCCTTCCATGTCGAGGATGTCCCTTCAGGCGGAGATGTAGCGCTTTCAGTCTCTACATAGTTCTCACTTGAAACGCTTTCATCATCCGACGAACTTTCGGCGTCCGAGGACTGCAGTTCTAAGACTGTTTCTTCGTCACTATCACTCACCTGTGACAGGTTGCGATAGCCTTGTTTCATTTCTTTGTTTATTGCGAAATATCTAAAAGTAGAATAGAAAAGGTGAGCAATGTTTCGTGTAAACCTTAAAGACCATTTGCATAATTAACAGAATTTATGATGTATATACAGTGGAACCTATCCTTCGGGACACCTCTATTCAAGAGACACCTCCATTCAGAGGGGACACAACATTTGGTCCCGGAAAAATATCACGTAATCTTTGTATTTGTTTCCTCTATTGAAGGGACACCTCTATTCATGGGAAAAGGTCTCTTTTTCGATTCTGGATCCCAAACCTGGATTCAACCGCTATTCCTTGTACACCTTAGCACTCAAAAGGTGACTAGCCACAAAAAGCCTTGAGAAGTTTAAGTTTTCAGTAATCACAATGGCGACCGCTTACAAAACATGAACTTATTCACTTAATAAATCGATGTATTGCACTTGTGGGACTTCAACACACAACATTGCAGTGATAAGTTAATCATGATTTTTTATACATTAACTAGCTGCTTAAAATAATGACCGCGGCGGATTCCGAGGTAAAATATACAAAAGCCCAGCCCATCCTCCATTCAGGGGACACCTCTGTTTAGCGAACATTTTTCTATTTCCGAGGGTGTCCCCCGAATAGAGTTTCTACTGTATCTATGTCATATTTTCAGCTGATGTCGCGACAGCCAAGTGGGTTATGGAGAACAAAAGCGTGAAACCACGAGGATACCACTAGGGCTAGCAGTTAACTGATGATTGGCCACAAAAACGGTAATTAACGGATAACTGGCCAAAAAATTAGTATTTAACTGATAAATATATTATATTAATTACACTGAATACAATCGTTAATTGTAATAAAAATAACAATGTTTTCCAAATAGCATAACCATTTCGTGCCATTTATCTGTGGCTATAGAGCGTTTTCACTCACGTGACCAGCATCTAAGCATATATCGCAACAAAAGAAAGCGTTTATGTAAGAAAAGAGTTCAACTCCCACAGGACTGGTTTAGAACACCAACATGGCCGTCGTTTCAATGGTTTGGAACATCAATATGAACGCCGTGACCTCATATGAAAACGCTCTATATGTAAAAGCTACCAGGGCCGTGCCAGGAAAAGTCAGACATAGATTGTTAGTAGACAATTTAACGCCGCATAATTCAGCTTTAATCTCACTCCGTTAACAGATCTCTGTTTTCGAAAAATAAACACATTGTTTTCACGGTCTCAGAAGATCGTCAAGTTTAAGAGTACAACCCAGAGAAAAACGCTGTGACTGTTATTATTGGATCTGGCCAATAAAGAAATTCTGATGGCTCAGAGAAATCAGCATCTTTCGTTCAAGTACATGGAATTTGTACTTAGGAGAAAGCATTTTTTAACCGATGTTGCAGTTGTAACTATCATTTTTGAAACAGTTTCATTTCTTAAAACCCTTGGATTTGCCGAAAAAGGTTCGCCTGCGAACAAGGTAACATTAAGGACGCGAAGGAGAACGTTGATAAAGTCCCTAGCGAGGTACAAAGATCAATAGCCAATGTGAAGAAGCCCTTGAATTGTCACGAGCAACAATTTAATGGTACAGAGGGTGCTGTTTTCAAGAACCCAAGATTTTCTTCTCCATTACTCAACGGGATGAACAGGCTGATAGAAATATCACTTCTTTATATCCTGTGTTCCTTGACCAAGATGAGCCTTTAACACTTCTGACAACGCCGGTGGAAAACCTACACGTGGTTTCTCATTTCCATAAAGCACGCAAGCGGCACCCAAAGCACCCAAACAGTGAGTACGGGGTTTTTCGCTCATTTGCTTTTGCTGTTAGTAAAACGCAGGAAGACGTTATTACGGAAAACCAGAAGCGTCAAATACTTTGTTGATAAAATGGAAAACAATCTATGATAGGTTTTAAGATCAGTGATCGTAAGAAATAGGAGAAAAGTCGAATTTTAGACTCCCGTAGTAGCGCCCACGCCACAAGACAGGTCTTCGTTGTAGGATTTGGCGCTTCTGGGAAAGCCTGCGTAGTTTTTGGGCGTTTTTACTTCCGATCGCCTACTGAGTGCTTTCTACTACGCCTAATGCTTTTGAGCCATAGTATAGAAATTGCTCAAACGAAGTACGAAGTGAGCTGCAACGTATTGCAGAAACGTCAAATACGTTGTTGATAAAATGGAAAACAATCTATGATAGGTTTCAAAACCAGTGATCGTAAGAAATAGGAGAAAAGTCGAATTTTAGACTCACGTAGTAGCGACCACGCCAAAAAACAGGTTTGGCGCTTCGGCGAAAGCCTGCTTAGTTTTTGGACGTTTTTACTTCCGGTCGCCGTAGCGAGTCCCAATCTCGACTAAGAGCTCTTCTGAGCATGTAGAGGGGAGAGATTAAACGCGCGCATTCCCAAACCCGTAAGCACTGGGATCGAGAATGTAGCAAGTCCCGACTGAGTGCTTTCTACTACAGGAATTGCTCAAACGAACTACGAAGTGAGCTGCAAAGTATTACACTCACGAAAAGTCGTACTATCCCGTGCCTACATACTTCCATGCCTTTGTCAGCGTTCTCAGCAATGCCTCTCCCAGCGCTGCAAACTGTGACAAAAGAAGATGAACTTGTGACCTGCACGCAGCATGGCGGTTTTGGTCGGGCGCGCAAACAAGCCAAGATGTGCGAGAGCAGTGAAGTTGAGATAAGCAACTGCATAGAGAAGTTTTGTCCTGTTTGACAACGAACTGTAAGAAGCGAAACAACTCAAGATGAAGCGCGATCTTTATCACCATGCCAGTTGTCGAATCTCAGCCAAAGCGTGACAAAAAAATATTATACCGTTTCAATTTTTCAAAACTCTCAGGATTCGTGCGGTCATGCCGGCCTGAATAAAAGAGATTCGGTAATCGCTAAGCTGTCCACTGAAGTGCGTAGGCAAGTAGAAATTTCAGTTAAATGAGTATTTAAGTCTTTTGCCTTTTGCAAAGGGGAAACAAGGCTTGTAAGATCGTGATCATGAAGTCGAACATAAATTCAGTGTAAAAACTTGAACAAAATCTGTATAAATTTGGGACTTCACGAACCATTGATAATAGAGAGTAACCATTTGTCCTTGGACTTTTCTATCTACATCTATTATTTGCGATAACTATTTTTGACAAAGGTCTACCTTTAAAGTACTTACGTATTGCAGATTCTCAGTTGGTAAGTGAGAAACTGACAAATGTAGTTGCAGTAAGCGTCTTCGTAGACGTAAATCAATGAGGGAGAGAGTGGCTCATTTTATAGCACAACTAAATCATGCTGCGGGCTACGTACAGAAATTCATAACGTATGCTAAACGCATTTCACGTTCTGCGAGCAAACTGAAAAGAACCGGTAGACTTTAAAGAAAGAAATGGATGACTGCAACTCACAACCTTGAAATTAAGAATGCCTATTTTCAACAAATCGAACATTCCTTTTTAATATTTATAAGAATGTTGTTTTTCCGTTTAGATTTTTAAACACAAAATTGATTCCTTTTCAGCCCAGGC